CTGAGTGTCATACAAGTAAGTAAAAGAGCACAAAATTAAATCAATAAATTAAACAATGATAATAAATAGACACAAATTGGGATGGCTGGCCAACTCTTAAGTCCTCCAGGTGGCCATGTCTCTGCTACCCTCTCCCTTCATGAGAAACTTCTTCCCCTCTGCTATATACTGAATGTTTATGTCTCCCCCAAATTCACATGCAGAAACAAGCCCCAAAGTGATGAAATTTGGAGGTAGGGACTTTGGGAGGTGATTAGGGCATGAGGCTGGAACCCTCATCAATGGGATTAGTACTCTTATAAAAGGGACCCCAAAGAGCCCAAGAGGCATGGCTCAGTGGTTGAGCATGGACCTATGAACCAGGAGGTCATGGTTCGATTCCCAGTCAGGGCATATTCCTGAGTTGCGGGTTTGATCCCCAGTGCGGGGCATGCAGGAGGCAGCCAATCAATGATACTCTCTCATCATCGATTTTCTATCTCTCCTTCCCTCTCCCTTTCTCTCTGAAATCAATAAAAATATTTAAAAGGGGACCCCAAAGAGATCCCTCACCCCTTCTGCCCATGTGGGAACACAGAGAAAAGACCTTCTATGAACCAGGAATTGGGCTGTCACCAGACATACAATCTGTACTTCCAGCCTCTAGAACAGTGGTTCTCAACCTTCCTAATGCCGTGACCCTTTAATATAGTTCCTCATGTTGTGGTGACCCCAAACCATAAAATTATTTTTGTTGCTACTTCATAACTGTAATTTTGCGACTGTAAACAATATGTAATTATATATATGTTTTCTGATGGCCTTAGGCGACCCCTGTGAAAGGGTCGTTCGACCCCCAAAGGGTTGAGAACCGCTGCTCTAGAACAATGAGAAATGTCTACTTAAAAGCTACCCAGTCTATGGAATTCTGCTATAGCACCCCAAACAACCTCAAAAAGCCCCTATTACTATTCTCAATATTGGTTCCTAATAAAAACTGTTATCTTTCAACATGATCTTGCTCTTCCAATACACAATGATTAGTAGTGGGATGAAAATTTGATGTTAGCAGGACCAAAGTCCTATCCTAGGGTTTTTCAAATTAGTGTTGAGGAAAGGGAACTTTAAGAACTACTGGTACTCATGATTCCCACTGCTCAGGAAACCTTATTTCAAAATTCAAAGCCAACTTTTATAGAGAAACAGTAGATACAGAGAGTTCCAATGATAATGTACATTCTAAACTCTATTATGTGCATAATGTACGTTTTATTTTATACTAAGCATGGTACACACTTACCATAATTATTGTAAGAATTAAAATAAATAATGAATATAAAAGTTCTTTTAAATTCTCAAGAAATTTAATAAGATAATAAGACAAGGACAGGCAAGTTTCAGTAGAAATATACTGGAATATGGATAAAGTCTTCCTTAAGGAGAGATGCTGACAAGGGATTTGTGAGAATTCTGGGCCTATTTTTAGTTTGAGAACACTGATTCTATTTCTATCCCATTCACTTTAGGAGTTAAGCCTTTCCTTCTCCTTCACATGAGTAAATTACTAGTATTATTATTATACTTACCTGCTTTTATCCAGCTTATTTTTTCACACTTCAATGGAATTGAAAGTACTCTACTTTTGCCAACACTTAAAGAAAAATTACTTTTATTATTTCATGGATTCTAGGTTAATGTGGTTGCATCTTCTCTTTGACTTTCTTTAATGTCATATTCTCTGGTATTGAATAGGACATCTGTGGATGCAAGACATAGGATGACCAACTTAAAGCCTAATATCCTCACCCTCTTCCCAAATTGTGGTGGAGGATACTATGAGAACAGAGAAGGCCATCTGACAACCCTCTACCTGAGGTAAAACCCTGGTCTCTACCCTGCCATTCCTAGGAGAACAAGGCTGTGCTGGCAGCCAGGTCCAGGGACTGCTGATCACATAGCAGGGAACAAAGTACACAGAAGAGAGAAGGAGAACCACTGTCCACAAAAACCACAGGGAAGAGTTCCAGTGGGGTTTGGAAGTATACACCTGCTCATAAGTCAAGGTTCAATGTCGGCTGTTTATTAAATCAGTTATTGTTGCTATTTGATAAAGCAGTTTATCCCAAACATTGACAACTGTGTAAAATGTTTCTAAAGGTAATTCTAATTCTAATCAGATCATTCTTAAGTAAAACTTTCTGATTCGTTTATTATACAGCTTTCTTCTTTAATTCCTTCAAAATGTTTAGTGAGTTAATTATCATAAAAAGTTGTATTTTCAAAGAAATCCATATTTCTCTGTGAAACTCCCAAGATTTTTAAAAATGGGAAACAAATGGAATGTTTGTTAAAACATTAATAAACACAAATAATATATGGTCTAAACAAAACACATCTATGGGCTACTAGTTTGTAAATTCTAAACTAAAGCTTCATTTATCTGAACATAGGCCAATATCAATATGTACACTTTTCTGAATGTGATCACTGGCTGTGAGAATCTGAAGGAAATAGGGAAATCTTGAGAAATTTTAACCTGAAAGGCCATATGGATTCAAGATGTGTTTGCAGATAGGTAGAGAGAGACAGTACTTTTCCTCTATATTCAGATATTTACATAACTAAAAGCTTCAAGATAATCTATTTTAAAGCTAGTATTCAAATGAGCATTCAAAGCATGATGCCAGCATTATCCTAATTCCAAAACCAGATAAAAACACTACAAATAAAATTACAGGCCAATATCCCTGATGAACATAGAAGCTAAAATCCTATGTAAAATATTAACATATCAGACCCAACA